GAAAAATTGTATATTAAATTCAGAAAATCTTTATCTATATCTATATCTCTCTGTTTTCTACTACCAATTTGGCTAACTGAATTTGTCTCAGCTCTTTTTGCATGGTCAACAATAATTTAAATTAAATGCAAATAAACACAGTCTAAAATTTGTGTAAAATAAAATTCTCAAAAATATATTTTACTAAAATGTATAAAAATATTACATTTAAGTTAGAAACTCGATTTGAATTTAAAATTTCAATTTGCCTGAAATAAGGGCATATGAATTGCTGTCTCTGTAAACGGGGGCTGCATAAATCTGTAAAAGAGCTTTGAGCCGTGGACAAACAGGCACAAAATGCCGCCTGGACGACCTCATAACAAACAAAAAAGCATTTTCTGCTCCAGCTGGACAAAATGCCAATTTATGTCTCTCTATGAGGTGGGCACCCGCCCCACCTCTCCGCCTCCCACCGCCCGCCTCCCAACCGCCTACGCTTTTGTATGTTTTAGTGTCTGCAATTTTTGAAATACAAACAAAAATATAGTCAAACTCGAATTTGCTGACTTTGGTTGCATACATTATATATATTTATATAGAGAGTATAAACTGGGTCCCCGGCACAGAAATGTGCCTCAATAAACAAGGATAAGTAAAAACGTTGCAGTCCAGGGTCATCGCGCACAGAATGCTCATTTTCCACGCCCCCAAGGGCGGATGGGAAAAATCCTGACTCTTTATAATAATAATATTATATATAATATATTCCTAGTTTGAAGACTAAAGAACGGACAGACAGCAAGACGGCCACTACACAAAACCAATATACTTGTTTCAGTTTCGTGAAAGGGTATAAAAATATGCTTAAATATTTCATAAAAACTTATGCTATATTTATAGGGGTAGAGAGAGTGCAGAAGATGAAGATGGCAGAGGTTGGGAACGGCACTGGCAGTGGAAGAGTGGGGACAACCTGTATGCCTTACAATATGAATTATTTTAGCTTTTTATACTACATTCATATTTTTATGACCCTTTGGCCTGGGGCCACATAGAAGAACTGGCTGTAGAATCAATAAGCCAGTTCACAGACGATATTCGCTGCCCTTTCTTATTTTATTGCTATATGTGTAGATATATGCGTGACGGTTTTATGGTCCAGCCACGCCCCTCTCTGGGCGCATTTTATAGCCAAAGTGGAGGGCTGGGTCTGGTGGCCCTGGCCTAGGCAACACTTTTCGCTTTGCCCGTAATGCATTGTGTCTAATACCCAATTAATTTGGGATTTGCCTTTAATGAGTCCCCCCAGCGCACTGCCAGCTGCCGCCACAAGCCCCCCAGCCCCACCCCCTTGTATCGCTCTCCTTTCGCAACAGCCAAAAAATTGTGCGTGTGGGTAGCTCGAACAGCGGACTTAATTAGCGCCCTGGCTAGCGGTAATAGACACAAATATATAGCCATAAAAATGCCCACCAAATGGCCATGCATTCCCAGACACACTTACATTCCCAGCCAAACACACGCGCACACACATACACACACATACAGAGGGAGAGAATAATGCGCTGCAGCACGGCGACAATAATTTGTATCCATCTGCTGCACATTTGCTATCATTATTGTTATTATTATTATTATTCTCATCATTATTGCCAAATGAGCTCTTTAAAAAATTTAAGATTGTCTATACATAAATACCCATTAACACCTTGACAATTGGGTATATTTATGATGTCATAAAAATGATGGGGAAAAAACAATAAAATTTTTTATATGTACTAAAAATTTACAAATTTAAAAATATCTCAGCGGGGGCTTGTCAAATGTATAAAAAAAATATTGCTAGAGTCTTTTACCTATTTTTTGTAAGCTTTAACAGTACAATAATTAACAATAAAATTTTTTCTTTTAACAATAAAATTATCTAATAATTT